TTATTTTATTACGTTATGATCATTATTATTATTAGTATTAATATTATTATTATGTTATTATCAGTATTATTAGTTGTATTATTATTTGACAGACGCTGGGACGAGCCCACGTTACAAAAATAACCACTACAACCTGCTAACCAACGCACATGAAGCAGAAGGTAGAAAAATTGCAAAAAACAAGAGAATAAAATAAAAGAAAAGAAGTAATGAGGTGATAAAGCAACGCAAAATAGGCACATCAAAATAGCCCGAGAACCCTCCAACCTACAAATTTCTTGGCAGCGTGCGCACAAGCGAAATCTTGATTTTAGTTGTTTGTCCCCTTGTTCCTGCAAAGGTACGGGAGAACAAAGAGGACTGACTGCAGCCTTACTAGCGAAGACTGAATGCTGTACCGATGTAGCTTACCTTTCCGAGCAAGCAGACTACAACGCGTATAGGTACTTGAACACTTTTGAGTAAGCGAGTATAATTTCCTTTGTATGGCGGGAAAAAGCCGTCGTACTCCACTTTAGTAATGTCTAATCTATATTTTGTAAGGCCTGATAAGTGCCCTTGAGTCTCTGGCTCGGACTGCTCTGAATAGATTCAGGATCCTGGGTGTTGCCATAGACACAATGTCCAAATAACATTTATCAAAAGCAAGCTTGTTATCGAATACGAAACCTATGTCACCTGTGTACTTTAGTAGTGGGTTGCAGTAATAGAGATCTTATTTTATAGCATTTATTACATTAAATCTGAATTCATTACATCCTCCTTTGCCTGTTTCTCCATCAGAATGAGAAACTGCAGATTTGGGAATTAAAAAAGGTTAATATGTGTTCGATCACAGGTCATGATGACCCATGTTGATGATCAGCACCTCCATTGTAATACCATTCGCTATTTAGATTTAGGTCTATTGAAGTATGGTTTATAGGTGTCAGCTTTCAAGGGAAAAGAGTACCGTTAAAGGAGTTTATGCAAGTGAAAAGCGCAAAGTCATACCTTTTCGAAGTCCACTGTTGCTGTAGGAAAGGAACAAATACCATGGAGCTCAGTAAAGCATGTGTTGAAGGATAGATTCAAATCAACCTCGTTCCGGATAGATGACGGTAGAGCTATTATCCTTAACAAAAAAGTCTCAGTGAGCTGTAATGAACCTCTTCGAAACTCACCATTAGGAAAACACACATGCGCGAGAAACCAACTAAATGAAGATTTTGTTTGCGAACCAATCATAAAATCGCTCATGATTTTTTTTAAACAATGCATCACTTGAATGCAGAGCCGTTATTCAGCGAGCTCTTTCATTACTAATACATTCATAAATGGACTTCGCCATCAACACATAACACCGCACATATGCTTGAATAGGAAAAGTCAGCGGATGAAATAATTCTGCTCCCGCATAAAAAGAAAATCAATAACACGCCACTTCACACTGCTTAGGGACTCTGTGTGTTCAATATTAATCGAGAGAGTTATGTTCATCACGAAAGTATATTCGTGTTTATTAAGGTAAGCCGCGAGTTAGTTATGTCACTCACTAGTAGACGAAATATGGTGACAATAAATGCTTTCATTAATTTAGAACCACAAAAATAATTTCCCGTAACTCTGTCCATATTAGATTTTGACGCTGGTGGGTTATTCGATTTTGACGCTGGCGCTATTTGGCGCTACCACTTTTCTTATCAAAATGGGTGTAAACTTCATACTGGGGTCATAACAGTGCCCTGACACGAGCCTGAAGACTCGATTTAAGTTCATAGGGGAGCCCGTTGGCGCCACTAGACGCGCACTTTGGCACACAGCCAAGACCCATTTTCCATTATTCTCAAAAATCCATATAGAACTTTCAATCACCCGGCGCGACGTGCTCTCATGATGGCTCCGAATTACGGAGATCATGTCATATGTCTTTGATGACTCTTGATTACGGATTGGCATTGCTGTTTGCTATATGTCTGTGCTTACATTTCTCGATTAATTGCTTTTTGACTAAGAGCGCGTCAAGACTATCAACCACAATTCGCGAGATCGCGCTACTGTCGGTGAAATTACCCCCCGGGAGGGGTCATGTTCGTTCATCGATTTCTTGTTCCTGGTCCTTGTTTGTCTTATCGGCTTCGTTATCCTTCCGTGTGTATGTACTAAACTGCCCTGCCCTATTTTTTAAGGAACGTTTCGAAATATCTTTGGTTACTTCTTATTTCCATATGTGAAACACCTACCAAAAAGCACACTATAACAGATATGCTAAATATTCTGACGTACGTTCAGGCGGAGTAGATTGAAATCTTGTTCCAATACAGCAAGACACGCACAACTTCAAAAGGGGTGATGTTCTTCTCCTCCCTTCCCCGATTTGAGCACAGTCCTCACAACAGAATAGTTCACTTAACTTTTATGTCACATGTGGTTGTCATCTTGTTGTCTCTGGCTCCGTCCTCAACAGGTCTATACAGACAACGCTTTCTTTCGAGAACGGTTTCTTAAATCGGTCAGTATTGGCGAAATTAGAAACGCGCCTAAAAGACATCAAAAAACGGTCGAACTTACTTTTATATCGTTTTTGGAACGCCTATTGGAGGCAGGATACAGCATCGTGATGTGAAGAAATGGTGATATCAGGTACGCCTGCCCTATTAACCAAAATTTGTTCGTTGTTGTTTTGTTGAGTTGAACGAACATGACCCCTCCCGGTGTAATTTCACCCACAGTAGCGCGATCGGATCGCGTGATCACAGCGATCGCGAAGTCTGAACGCGCTCTAATGCTGAGCCTGGAAGAGTGGTTCCCTTCAGACCAAGCTCAGCGTTGACAGGGCGCAGATGGTCGTGTTTTCCTACATTAGGCGCCAAAAATGAGCGTCATACTCGCAATCAGGATGTCAAATACCCCTCCCCCGTACGCAAGTGCTCAGTAGTTTTGGAGCCGGTGCCTGTGGCGCGGGCATTGAACGAATTCGGGCCAGGCGGATGTGATATGCAGATTTACGCGGCCAAACTACTCCATGTTTCCAGCGTCGGTGATTTGGTAATTTCTGACGCAGGCGCCAGGCATTTTCAGGAAAAGCAAATGTGATGTTGTTCAGGAGGTCTAACTACTCCTGAAGGTAATTTCGCAGATAAGCCTTTCCTCGTAGAAAAGAGCCAGTAAAATGGGTTCCGGGGGATTGGGGTAGTATTAGTTGACTAGCTCTGAAAGAATCAGCTTCCACGAACAGGTGTGAAAAAAATCAGTGTGGTTTATACCTTCTCGAGGAGTCAGTGGTGAATTTGGGGTGCTAACGCAGTTGGCACTTAAAATGCGCTACATGTCTGCGCTCCACTCCTTAATGTTACCTAGGCTTACACACGGTAGGCAACTTGCCGCTCATGTTATTCTCTACGGGACTGCGGGATCGACGCACTAGTCCTATACTGCAGTTGGTGGGTAGAGTTGATCAGTTTCATTTTTGTGCATTCGAGTAATGAAAGCTGCTACAGCTGCACACCGACAAGGGTCCACTTTTCAGGTGAGCGCACAGCTTACTCGCAAGTTTTGCGGATGCTTTCTCATAGGCTACACTTGCCGAGTGCTCCCCCCCCCCCCAATTAGCGCTGGATCTCATGCGATTTTCGGTCACAGACTGTTCTAACCAAACACATTTATCACATTCTGTACGCGTAACGCGTGAAGTCAGGAAATGCATGAGACATTTCTAAAGTAACGTTTGAAACGAAAGTAAAAGGTTTCTAATGTTCTATTCGCGAGTTCTTGCATATGCTGGTTTACTGTGCACTCCCTGACATTCATGCTAACACGACATTTCTCAAGACTTCATAAATGCCTGCATTTCATTTTCAAAATAAATCGTTCAGTCTGAACCTGCTTGGGACGCAGGACCGCGAACATACTATAGGAATTATATGGGATGCTTTTTTTCTTACAACATCTACTTCACAAAACACTTCGATTAACTCGAAGAGCTTCTGCATCCTTAAGTAATGCGGATCTACTCCACGTTAATAATCAGTAAATTGGCTGTATAAAATCGGGCTGCATGAAAGGATGCACCGCACCGACACACTGCCATGTTATACGCAGCAACTACTATTGATAAATAAATTTGAAATGCTGCTACCCACCTGAGCATGTCCTACGTTGGGCGAATCCCAGCGGTGAGACGCTTAGCGGGTAGACTGGAGCAAGAGGTTCTTATTTGCGTCAACGAAACTATGCTATAAAGTAATATTTTGAATTATCGATCTGCTGACGGTGGCGTCAGATTCTGGGCGGGGCGAAGTGACCTCTTCGCTGAGTCCCGCCCAGGTAGGGCCATCCAGGTTTCTACGGCGTCCCAGAGCGGTCGACTATTCATCTAAGTATTCATCAAGCATGGAGGAAGATATTCCTAGCTATTCACATCCTACAGAAGCTATCTACGAAGAATGTGTGGAGACGACGGAAAATGCTGACGCGGCCATTCGACTAGATCCGAGGGACATCCGGTCAATCATAGATGCTATAAGGACAGAAACACTTCAACCAGCTACCCCATCCGCTAAACCTGTCTTCAAGAGAGAAGGGTATGCTAAACAGTTCGAATTTAACTCGTCTATTCTACGTAAGCTGATTCCGCTACAATCGTCGACGAGTCATGAAATAGCTACAACTATAACTCAAGTGATCCAGGATTTGAACACTAGAAATGAAACGCTGGTAATCGCAGACGAGCACCCGGAAGTCTTCCAATTTTTGGATCACAAGTCTAAAGCCGACTCCCTGAAGGCCACGGACCCTCGCCTGAGCGAGTTTATGGAATCCATCAGAAAGAAGGAAGAGCCGACGTAAAAAAGGGGTCCCAGCCCTTTCGAAAGCGGAGGCCAGCTGGCACCCCTGCCTCCCAGTCGCTCGCATTCGTGCCGCTCAAGTCCTTCGTTCCCTCCCTCTTCGTCGTCGTTCGTCCCTTTCTCGTCGTGGAGTGGGACTGAAGGGTCTCGGAAGTACAAGAGGGACCAGTCTCCGCCGCGCAAGTATGCGATGCGTCCGTATGCCAGAGAGAAGGACCGGATCAAGAGCGAGTGCAAAAATTGCGGCAGAGAAGGGCACTGGTGGAGGGAGTGCCCCCAAAGGAAATGGTGAGTTTTTCGCTGGATCCATCCACTTCCAATCCAGTATGGGAGGCTCTCGAGCCGTCTGTTTTGGTCTCGACCACTATTAGATATGGTTACTCTATACCATTTATGTCCTCGCCTACGAGGCCGAAATATGACGGGAATCGTAAGAGTGCTCTCGAGCATGCAGATTTCGTAACTAGCGAAATTTCAGATCTTCTGCAATCTGGTGTGGTTAGAGAAGTACCTGAGCCTTCGATCGAGAATTTGCACATACACCCCCTTTCAGTAGCTAAAGGTAAGAAGTTACGCACACTACAAACAAAATTATTAATTAGCAGCCGTTTGGTACCGATCGCTCTCCATCTGAATAAGTTCATGATGTGCCCGAAATTTAAGTTGAGAGTGACATGAGTACTGCGGTCTCGCGCATGTTCTACCAGTCAAGGGGTTCATGTCAACTTTTGATCTTAGGTCGGGTTACCACCACGTAAGGATCTCTCGAGATCACATCGACTATCTCGGTTTTAAATGGGAAGGGAAATTATACCAATTTCTCTGTTTACCATTCGGGCTCGCCTCAGCTCCCTCATATTTTTACTAAGATACTTCGCCCCTTCATCAAGAAGTGGAGACAAGGAGGGCTAGGGGTAGCAGTGTATATAGATGACGGGATAATTTTCCACCCTTCGAGAGAGGGATGCCTTCAAGCTGTGTCAGTCATCAAGAATGACCTGCTAGTAGCCGGTTGGCACTTCGCGGAAGAGAAATGTAACTGGGTGCCGTCCCAGGTAGCGAATTGGCTAGGTTTCAGCATTAATCTCGTTGACATGGTTCTCAGCATATCAGAGGATAGAGTCATAAAAGCCAGGCGTAGACTTTTATCGTTGTTGAAATCCGCGCGCCCGTCCTTGTACGATAGGCTGAGCTGGTCAGGAACCTTGTCT